GGATATGTATAAGTATATATATATGTATGTATATATATATATATACATATATTTGTGTAGGTGTTTTTTGTATATGTATAGTTGTATATATTTGAGAAGGAGCGAGATGCATGTTCTGTTGGGCATATGTATACAGCAAACCTTCATGAACATTTGTACTGCTAATCCTGAGCGTGGTATATACATAAAGTAGTTGTTTGTTCTACGTCTGCATACATTTACATCAAATTGGACATTGGTGTGCAATTTTTCCAGCTTTCCCTGGTACACATATGTAGACTACATACATGTATTTATATATCAGTCCTTCATACTTTATTCAGTGGTCAATATCGTGATAGTACCCTTAAATTTGCATCTACACATGTGCGCCTTGATGAAAGCAATCACACAAATCTACTTCAATATTTGGATGCGTACAGATACATTTTAACATTCCTTAAGTACCCCAGTTCATCCAAAAATTCTCGCTGACCAAATATAGTATCAACTGGGATTGTGAATTTGATTCATCATCTGAGCACGAGCTTTCATCGCATATCTGGTATTTCGAGGAGGAAACGATCATTCAAACATTAAGAATGTATTTCGCAATACGCACGTTTTCCACTTTCACACCAGTTATCAAGGGCATGTACATGCATCTATAGTTATATGCAAAAGTATGCCTGGTTTATAATGTGAAATAATCTGGTAGATCCCGGAAATATGCTAACATCTTGGGTGTCTTTGTCGATTTTTGTGAGGAGACCCTATTCACTATATACCTTTTGTGCGTGGAACAGTTGTTTGTCTGTTTGTATTAACCAACTTATGTATGATGATTTCCGATATAGGTGGGTGATATGATCTGTGTGCGTGTGCTCACTTATATATAATATTCTGCCAAAAAAAAACAATACAGGGTGATAACCGCCGAGCGGTTTATCTGCACAGACAATCATCTCAACATCATAGTAAACGACGCGATGGAATTGAGGACCATCCGCCGACCCCTCCCGGAGAACCCTGAAGGTATTGTTTGTTCTAAGTACCATTAGTCTAAGGCGCAATACATAATCTACGTTCGATGGTTCTTATGTTTCGTGGTGCCACGTACTCCTTGTGGGACAAGCCTGCTTCTATGCCACATTGTTATACTACCGATCCTCTATTTAGGACGTATGATGAACTTAATTCCTACTATTTTTTGAAATGGGTGAATTGCGGGGCGGGAGTGCAGTCTAACCATACCATACCACGTGACACTCGAATCACCTTATGCTCATTACTACGTCAATGAACAACCCAACTTCTCAACTGGATATGCTTTGACACCCAGCAGAGATAGAAGTGATCCAAGAAGTCCGGAAGCTCGGATCTGTCATGGTCCCCGGTGCCCATGTAGAACGGATTGAAATCATCGACGCGGAAGCAACTGCTGCTGATGTGAGCGGCCTCGTGTTATAGACACGCGACACCTGATGTGGTTAGATCAGAACAGACTATATACACAAAACTTGTCCTGAACGAATGCCTCTGCAGAATGATATGTATGGGTACCGGAGTGTGATCGACGCCTCCGAAGGAGAAGTACAACCTCCAGAAACCTTAAATGACAATACATCCACCATATCCAAGCCACAAAGATTGCGCTAATCGGACTGTTCACCGGAGAATACTTTTGTGCAAAAGCACGATTGGTACGCAAACGCGCTGATGAGAAGCCTGTGATCCGTTGAGCGCAATTTTCGGTTTGTAGAATGAGCCAAATCATATAGCCGGCTGATTGTCGAAGAGAATGTCATCGATTGATGGGCATAAAGAAGCCGAGTCACAACACAGGACATATCGCGAGCCCTGTCGTATCCCTGGTGGCTTTGATTGGAAAGATGGGATGTGCATATAGCTAGACGGAAACCTCCACTCGGGTACCTACGTGTGAATGGAGGTCGATCCATGCTACATCGCAATTTGCAGTTAATTGACAAGCAATTGAACGTGCGTAACGAATTGGTAAACGAGCGGCAATGTATATATCGAAGGAGTCGTGTACTGTTGCTCGCCTAGGTTGGGGGGACGGAGGGGTTTCGGGGGGTTGATTTAGTGCCAGTCACAGGCTATCTTTGGGCGGATACGTGAACGAGGGCGATTAAACGATACGAGCTGTTCACAGACCGACATTCTATTGGCATGGCTATACCATGCAGACCTAGAGCTGGGATGGACCCGTTAGTCTCGAGTTCATTCAGTGTTGAATGCATACTATAGTGTCGTCAGTGCTTCGGCGAACTGCGCCTTACGAGCATACGGTATAATTCTTGCATAAAATTGATCGTGGCTTTATATTGGCATTCGAAGGATAAAGATCCATCATTAGCCGGCTGCAAATTCAATAGAATACTAAACTTCGACATCGGCTCCTAGAGTGTTTATCGCGACTGCCTTTTTTATTTGTGAATCGCACGTACTACATTGTCAAGCATTGTACAACCTACATTTCACAATGGATATTCTCAGGGTTGAACTTTTACTCTATAGATACATATGTATCCGTATTTATACACAACTCAGACTTAATTCAGAATCAACATAAGGTCGCATATTGTATATAACCTAGATATGACAATGTATCATACATTGCTGAAGGGTTCTCCAACTTGGGCTGGGCTGCTGCTGCCGCCGTTCCTTTGCGCTCCACGTACTGACTGCATCACCTGCAATAGCTCTGACGCTCATATATATGCGAAGGCACTTATTGATATGTGGGCCTTATGCTTTAAGCCATACAAGAAGAATAATGTAGCTGCGCTGAAGTCCTGTTATATACATTTATCATGCACATTAAGTTGCCTCCGTTATATTCATATCCACAAAGTGAAGATATTTATAGTGGCTACTTGTGTAAACAACTATCGCGAATTTAAAAGCATCACACTGGTGAGGGTGAAGTAACATAAGTAATTAAGAATACCATTATGCGGTGGAATAAGTTCGGAGTGACGGTCAAAGCACGAGATGCAGAAATGGGGTTTGCACACAGTGTAGCGGAAGATATGACGAGTCAGCAATCATCTCAGGTCAAAGGAATACAATTTTCGCATACATCGAAGCATAGAGGCCACCGTGCAAATATAGCAATTCCCAGAAACCATAAAACGCAGTCTTGATTTTGGGACTATGTTCACACCAAATAACGTCTTCGCAATAGGAATTCAACACTAAAGTTTCTGTAGGATAACTCATGCTAGGCCACAGGTCAGCCAGATTGTGCTCCAAGTCTAGTGTCGAATATTCGGATTCTACGTTATTGTATGCACCAGGAAATATCGAACACAAGAATATCAACTGATGTGGAGATAACGTGAACGTGATGCACAACCAAGGTATACCGTTAAAATGTAGTGGCAGCCAAACTCTTCACTAGATCACTCGGTTTAATGCTCGCGCCATTGTTTACGGTCCCACATCGATTAATTAGGTGTACAAACTGAGTACAAATAGCTAACTCATTTGCCTATGTAGACTGGCTTTCGCTTTTCTCGGAAAGCAGTCAAGCCCTCAGTCCTGTCTTGCGTAGGAATCACTTGTGCATAGCATGCCTGCTCGATTGCCATACCAACAGCCCTGTGTAAAACAGAGATCATAAACTGAGCATTTGCTACCAAACTATTCGGAAGTATCATCACGAGTACAATGGCAGAATAGGCTAGTACAGCCCAGGAAGTAGGCAGAAGGCCGAGCGAGCCACGATAGACTATTATACCGATCAAAACAAAAGGTAACGACCAATGGTCTCAATACAACTACAATGCAAAGAGGATACTTTAGTAGGAATGCAAGACCTTGCACGCTGAAGAAGCATGTTGTTCGTCTTCAGCCAATTATCAATGTGATAACACATGACGAAGATCCAAATATCCTTTGCCTTCGGCCTCTAATGAATACGACACTACAAAGAAAAACATACTGTTCAACTTCGGATCCCTGACTGATCGCTTGCTTTGCCATTCGGAGAGCCACTGGTCCAGCAGGGAGGATATTGCGTGCCAACTCCAAGGCCTTGTCGAGGGGATCGCCCTCGGTCACGGCTTCCGTTATAAGTCCTGCGTGATTTCACATGTGACACAATAAGAACACACTCGCATGGAATACTTTGTGTCACGTTCGCAGAGTCAGCTGGTAGACTGACATGCACGCACCAAAAGTCAGCACATATCAATCTCTACCGGTGCGGCTATCACCTGTGCGTGAAATACCATGTGAATTGCACGATACCACTTGACAAACTGACATGGGCTTGTTTGTGATACACTTGCAGTGTGGACATGCCGACCGACAAGAATGCGCCGAATGTCAGCACAAAAAATCACCACACCTATTTGTTCGGCTTTCTCGGCAGTTAAGATCTTCCCTGTGAAAATCAGCTCTTTCGCCTTTGGTACACCTATCGTTCGCGGCAGCCTTTGTGTGCCGCCAGCTCTGTCAGTTGGACAATAACACGTGTAATGAGAATTACAGAAAATATACGAAAGATTCGTCCTCACCATTGCACTGGTGCCTCCGCAAATAGCAAATCCCGAATGCACAAGCATTGTGTGGGTGTCCTAACAGCTAAGAATATAACCATCGTATATATATATAAATNTATATATATATATATATAATATATATATATATTAATATATANACCTANATATA